AACAAACAAACAAATGAACAAAATATTTTCTCCTTCATTTCTATCAAACAATGCTGTATGAAACGTTTCCAGCTGTTAGTTTCATGGTTGCTAGGCAACCTGGGCAGCGCGACGGAGGCGAGACTGACCCATTTCACAAGCTTCGCACTTCCGGCCTCAGTGGTCTTTGAGTACGCGGCCCTTGTGGACCGTTAAGGCTGCGTACTTTAAGGCTGCAGACCCTGAATTGGGATACAGCCGTTGTGTCCTAGTCTTACCGCCTTACTGTGCTTCCATTCACTTTTTTAAATTATTGGGATCCCAACATAATGAGACTGTCACTACCTGCTTAGCACTAGAACTGATTTCGATGACCTCCAGCTAAATATAGAATGAAGTCCAAGCAACTGTTGACATATAAACATGCTCAGCCAGTCCATTGATTGTTCTTAATCAATTAGGCAGTTATCATTGTCACTGCCATTGCCATCTCAGTTATAGACCACATTTTATATAAATTTTTTTAACAACAAAACAGCTTAACAGTTAGGTTAAAAAAAATCATTGGACAATGACTTTTTAAAAATGAATTACATTTTTAATGACTCTGTATGCCACCGCAGTGGAGTTTTCAGCAGACAATCAACATGTTATTGAAGTGCAGATTTTCACTTTTTCTTTTTTTGTTTGTTAATTTTTATTTTGATCATGTAAATAATATACAGAAGTTCATTTAGCAAAGAAAAGAAAAATGCTATATAAAAGAAAGCAAAATACATTTCAATATTGCTTCATCTGTTCTGATTCAGTTATATATCGAAAATGGGTGGGAAGGATGTAAAAAAACAAAACAAAGAAAGCATTTTATTAACTGTTATACCAATTATACCAATTTTTGTGCACAGCCCCTTATTTTTTAAAGATTAAATTGGAGGAGATGAAATCAATATTGAAATGTGGTAAAAGAAAATATGGAAAAGAAAAATGCACACATCTGAAGCATAGCACATCATCTGTTCAGTATGGTGGCAGCATGTTCATATACAGCTGCTAATGGAACGGGTCATTCGTGTTTATTGATGACTGCTGATAGAAGTAGGAGGATGGATTCTGAAGTGTATAAGGCGATATACTCTGCTGAGATTAAGCCTAATGCCAAATCATTGCAAATACTTTTCATAGCAGAGAAATGGGATATTCTCTAACAGCCAAATCAGTCACTTGAATGCAACCTTGTAGGACATGTTTTTTCAATTACAGCTGAAGGCTAGGAGACCCTGCAAGACCCTCTAAAAGTGCTGTCAGTAAAGGCCGAGCAAAGCATCTCAAAAGAGGAAACACAGTATTTGGTGATGCCCAGAGGTTCTCTACTTCAGCTAGTCATTAACTGCAAAGGATTTTCAAGTATTAAAAACAATACGGATATTTAAAATTATATCAGATCAATATGAATATCAAATGGGCCTGGCCAATGTATAAAAATGTCTCCAGTTCATGAACAGTTAATGAAATACTCTTGTCAAATCCTTGGAAATAAAGCTGAAAGTCTGAACTTTAATCACATTTTGAATGTTTGATTTAAAATGGCCTGGCCTGCATTAAAATTAACATCGGGGGCCGATAGAGGCAAAATTACATAAAAACGTGCCAGTGTGCAAAAACCTACATACCTAAATATAAATGTGCACAGAAGAAGGTTGTAAAGTTGGATTGGTAATTTATATTCTCACTGGGAGTTAATTTATATGGGCCTTTAAACTGTGGAAGTACCTAACAATCCTCCTCTGCCATTCCATTATGAACACCACAATTATGTGGTTTTAGCTTACACTAGCAATTTGGCTAAGACATCTAATCCAAAGTTACTTGGGAAATAACCCCACATCATGCCAGGACGCTGATAAGTGGTAAACAAAATGGACGGACATCTAGTTTCTGATTTTTTTTCCTCGTACAACAGCAAAAAAGGTAGATAGATGGTGACTGAGTTGTCAGTGTTAGATTAGCTTGCGACATTGCCTTCCTGCTACACAGAAGTTACAGTTTCACGATGGAAATGATTTCTAATTTGACAAAAATATATACAAAAAAATGGCAAAATCAAAATGAAGGTCATTACACAGATAACTGCTTGCGGTGTCAGTTATGCAATGAAAAATGTAATGTTCACTTTCAGTTTACGTTCAATGGACGTAATGCTGTTTTGATAGCCTTCTGCACACCCTTTGAGTTAAAGTGTCCCTAAAAGTGTTCTGAGGGAGAGTGAGAAGGAGATGAAGCTGAAGAGAGCCACGAGAGTAACACAGAGGTGTGCACACAGCGAGAATGTGGCGCACAGAGCAGAGAGGGGAGAAAGGAGGGAGAGTGGTGGGGTGTGCAAGGAGAGGCAAAGCAGAAAAAAGCCAATACAGAAGAGATGCGAAGTATGAGACCTGAAGCCTGAAAAATGGGAAATGTGTGGAGAATGTGAATTAGTAAAGTGAAGAGAACAGAGTCTAGAGTGGACAAAAAATAAATAAAATAAATAAGCAGTAAGAAGCCGTAAGCTGGAAGTGATAAAAACACTCAAAAGTACTGCCTTCTGTAACTTTTAATACATTTTTTATTATTATAATAACTGCATTATCCTTATTTTTATTTTTTTTTACCCACTTTTTAAAATGCCCGCATAAAGCACAGAATGTGGTGAAGAGTTTGTTCTTAACTTAAGGAAAAACATATTTTGGTACAGCAAAAAAGAATGGTGTAGAAATCAAAATTAGTGGAGGTGGTTGTAATGTGCATTTTGGTGTAGGTAGAAACTAACACTACTAACATAAAAAAAAATATATATATATATATGGATTTATATAGTATAAACCTTTAGTTACAAGTATCTAGATAAAGCTTGGTAGAAATGAAATGCATATAGGGAGTGCAGAATTATTAGGCAAATGAGTATTTTGTCCACATCATCCTCTTCATGCATGTTGTCTTACTCCAAGCTGTATAGGCTCGAAAGCCTACTACCAATTAAGCATATTAGGTGATGTGCATCTCTGTAATGAGAAGGGGTGTGGTCTAATGACATCAACACCCTATATCAGGTGTGCATAATTATTAGGCAACGTCCTTTCCTTTGGCAAAATGGGTCAAAAGAAGGACTTGACAGGCTCAGAAAAGTCAAAAATAGTGAGATATCTTGCAGAGGGATGCAGCAGTCTCAAAATTGCAAAGCTTCTGAAGCGTTATCATCGAACAATCAAGCGTTTCATTCAAAATAGTCAACAGGGTCGCAAGAAGCGTGTGGAAAAACCAAGGCGCAAAATAACTGCCCATGAACTGAGAAAAGTCAAGCGTGCAGCTGCCAAGATGCCACTTGCCACCAGTTTGGCCATATTTCAGAGCTGCAACATCACTGGAGTGCCCAAAAGCACAAGGTGTGCAATACTCAGAGACATGGCCAAGGTAAGAAAGGCTGAAAGACGACCACCACTGAACAAGACACACAAGCTGAAACGTCAAGACTGGGCCAAGAAATATCTCAAGACTGGTTTTTCTAAGGTTTTATGGACTGATGAAATGAGAGCGAGTCTTGATGGGCCAGATGGATGGGCCCGTGGCTGGATTGGTAAAGGGCAGAGAGCTCCAGTCCGACTCAGACGCCAGCAAGGTGGAGGTGGCGTACTGGTTTGGGCTGGTATCATCAAAGATGAGCTTGTGGGGCCTTTTCGGGTTGAGGATGGAGTCAAGTTCAACTCCCAGTCCTACTGCCAGTTTCTGGAAGACACCTTCTTCAAGCAGTGGTACAGGAAGAAGTCTGCATCCTTCAAGAAAAACACGATTTTCATGCAGGACAATGCTTCATCACACGCGTCCAAGTACTCCACAGCGTGGCTGGCAAGAAAGGGTATAAAAGAAGAAAAACTAATGACATGGCCTCCTTGTTCACCTGATCTGAACCCCATTGAGAACCTGTGGTACCATCATCAAATGTGAGATTTACAAGGAGGGAAAACAGTACACCTCTCTGAACAGTGTCTGGGAGGCTGTGGTTGCTGCTGCACGCAATGTTGATGGTGAACAGATCAAAACACTGACAGAATCCATGGATGGCAGGCTTTTGAGTGTCCTTGCAAAGAAAGGTGGCTATATTGGTCGCTGATTTGTTTTTGTTTTGTTTTTGAATGTCAGAAATGTATATTTGTGAATGTGGAGATGTTATATTGGTTTCACTGGTAAAAATAAATAATGGAAATGGGTATATATTTGTTTTTTGTTAGGTTGCCTAATATTTATGCACAGTAATAGTCACCTGCACACACAGATATCCCCCTAAAATAGCTAAAACTAAAAACAAACTAAAGACTACTTCCAAAAACATTCAGCTTTGATATTAATGAGTTTTTTGGGTTCATTGAGAACATGGCTGTTGTTCAATAATAAAATGATTCCTCAAAAATACAACTTGCCTAATAATTCTGCACTCCCTGTATCTGTCCCTGATCAGTGATGATTATTCTTTATTGAACTGAATGATCTTCAATAATAAAGAGGAGGAGACACTGCATGACTAGTAGTAGGTTGGTTAGTAAATTAGTGTATTATCAGCTACAGCAGTATAAGATACACCGGTTTTGTGGATTAAATTTTTGCTCATACTTTGGTCTGACAAAGAATAAAATGCAATGCAGCCTCTACAAAATGGAAAGATTTTGTAAAAACCTTTTTAAAATATGAACACCTATCTGTGTGTAGGCCTTAGAGCGCACCGTGTGATTTCAAAATTGACATTTTATTTAAATGACCTTTTGTTATGTCACAGTAATAAAAGCACAATATTAAAAGAATGAAACAAATAAATAACAACAAAAGAAAAAAAATAAAGGTCTGCACACCACAAACAGTCAACAATTCAAAAGCTGGACAAAACTTTGGAGGACCACAAAATGTTTCTATTTCTGCATACAGACACTTGCCATGCTGGACATGCATTCAAAGCTACAACCACAGATATTTCACTTTTAGAGTTTAGAACTTACCATAACTGAGATGTGTAGCAGATGCATGTGTTCATGCAGCACGTGGGCCGGTTCCCGGGCAGTAGGTTGTGTGGTCTGAGCTAAAAGCTCAGACTCAGTCATGGACACATGGAAGTACAGTGTCCCATTTTCCAACCACTGCTGCTTCCAATGTACCTGAGAAATTTCTTCCCCAGTACCAGACATCTCTGAAAAGAACAAAGAGAGAGAGAAAAAAAATGTTTTTTGCCTATTTTTTGTTTTTTATGAATAAGACAATGCACATGGACTGTCTGTGTGTACAGGACACGTTTTGCTAATGTTACTCTGTAAGGAAAACACATCCATTCAGTTGATCTGAAGAAACTAACAAATAACGGTAACAACATACGGGATTATGTGTGCATATATTTTGTGCATGGCCTTGTCTCTGCACGCACAAACAGTCACTTCCAACTAGAAATCTAACTTCTGAAGATTATAGATTTCTTAGGTTCTGTTACAGCTGCGCAGCTGATTTGGTGAGAGTTGCTGTCAAGCCATTTCTCTGCTTAGCTGCTTTGCAATCCTTATTATGACAACTTATTAAGCCATGGTATTAGTTAGAGATTTGTAGAAATTCAAAAAGACTAAGTGGAAGTCATCACAAATATTTCAGCCATTACAACCAATACATCGCTTCAATTACAGATAAAATTAGTCACAGATGGAAAAGGATTATCCATGCTCATGTCCATTTGTTTACACTATTTTTGCCCATTTTCTTTTTATTTTCCTGTCACCCAAAAACAACAGACTCAAAAGTCTGCCAAAACTTTCAATGGGCAGATAATGGGTTCATTAAGCTCAATTTTAAACATATATATCAGGAACAGTCGCAGAAACGCTGTCACTGCCCTTCTTCTTATCTGCGTTAATCATCCTACATTATTTAAACCACCAGCTTCAGGCTAGTACTTACTTGAACTATCTAACAAAGGAAAGAATGAAAGGAAAGCTGGAAAAGTTTATAAGGAAAAGTGTGCAGGAAATGTACGAACAGAAAAAAATGACACACTCAGTTGAGTTTTATGGAGCAATGGAAAAAGGAGATGAAAAAGAGCAGGGAGATCACTGGTTTATCTTGATATGGATCATGGCACAAGAATCTAATGCTATCAAGTGGGAGTGGCTGCTCAGTAGAGCAGTACTGAGAAGCCTAAGGGAGCCTCCGATTGCAAAGCTTGATACAGTATTTGTCATGTGGCTGGGTGACAAGGGCACAGACATCTACTGACATCTTCTATCGGTGGCAGGTAGCAAATGACAAATGGCTTTGGATACAGCTGGTTATTAACCTGCTGACTCTGGGTCAGAGGACACGGGCAGCAGGGGAGGGTTACATGAGCTGTGCTCAGCACTGAGACAGGCCTTTAGGTGCAGGGGGAGAATGCGCAGAACAGACACTGCATAAGAAAATGACACAGTTCATCATGGTAGAAATCATGTTGTTATATGCACAGTTATAGTTACTTAAAAATATAGTCGTGTAGACCACAATTAATAACTCTTTTCCCTATTTTATCCTTTTTACTAACTGTCGGGGGGAAGGGGGAGGTGGACTGCACAGAGGCAATCATTAGCAAGCACACAAGCACAAATAATAATATTTTTGGTTATGATGATGATGATGAATTATTTGACAGTTTATACATAAATCCAATAAAAAACTGCTTTAAGTTATAATGCACATCTTAAATGCATCTCTTCTCTGTGAAAGTGCACTTGAAACGTCCACACTCTTGCAAAAGACCTGGGAAATGCTGTATAATTTTGCTGACTACAGCTTATGATAAAATTTTGTAGGGTGTGACATTCTTAAATCCTACAACTGCTGGCTATTCATCTTTTAATGTTTAATCTGCAGGATGAAGGGAGAGTGCTTGACCTCTCACACCGAGAGATGGTAAAGTTTTGTCTGCTGGGCCACCAGTAACATACCTCCTGTGATGCTACTGTCTCCTGCCAAGCTCCAGTCAATCTTACCTTTCTTACACATTTTGTTTGTTTCAGGTAGTTTTAAATGACTCTGATTTTACACAACAGTGACAATGAGTTTGATACAGATTAAAAGTGTTCCTGTGTGGAAAAGTAAAAGACACAGTTTGCAGTCACATGCAGAATAGATGGGAAGTTTCTAAAACAGTAGATGCTGCGAGGTTGTTGTGTATCTCTGTATGATCATTATGCAGATGAGGAAAGACTATTTTAAGACAAAAGAATGGTGTGTGTGTGTGTGTGTGTGTGTGTGTGTGTGTGTGTGTGTGTGTGTGTGT